TAAGTTGAATCTGTATGTAAGTCAGAACTGGCAGTCAGTTTCAGCAGCGGCTGAATCTGGACGCCAGTTCCGACTTACATACGGATTCAACTTAAGAACAAACCTACAGTCCCTATCTTGTACATAACCCGGGGACTGCCTGTACTTTTCTGCCTTGAAGTACTTTGTCTCTGCTCAAGCAATAAAGGGGAAAAGACTTGAGAACGAAAGAGATTATCTTAGAATAGTGATGTTTTCATGGACTTGTTTTTTTAACACATCACTTTGCTGCACAGTCTTTGTGCGTGAATGATTATTTATTGTTAAATAATTTCAAGTGGAAGTCTCTGGAATGTTGCTTTTATTTGTAAAGACTGAGAACTGCTTATTGGAAGAAAACTCCAATATATGTTCAGAAAAAAAATTATAAAGTATTTGTTTCTTTCCTGTTTCTTAATTCTTCCTGCCTCTTTTGTATTTATTTATTTTGCTGTTGAAAAATATAATTTTAGACTTATTCATTTGAGTTTTCTCTACTGAGGAACTTTAACTTTGTAAGTTCTAAGGCTTTGTCTGTAGTTCTTGCTGTTAGATGCTTTTCAACCATAATAAATATTTACTATCAAAATTGGAGCGCTATTGTGCAAAGTGTTGTACAAACATGGATAAGAAACAGTCCTTATTCCATAGAGTTTACTGTCTAAAACATTCAAAACAGGCAAAGACATGGGTACAAGTATATCTCATCTAAACAAATGCAGATGATGGAGAATTGACACAACTTTGTTAGTTACATGTGTTGTGGCTTGTTTTTTTAATTCAATCAAAATTGGCTTGACCTGTGCTAACAAAAAACACAGTTAAACTGTAAACTGTGCTACGGATGACATCTGTGAAGGAGAGCTAGTTAAGGTAGCATGTTTTTAGAAGGAAATCCATCCCCATTCTTGCATGCAGTGGCGCTGCAACTATTTTTAGTATGGGGTGCTGATTTGCACCCCCCCAACCTTTTTGCACCCCTCACTGCCCCAGGCTGGGGTCACACCTGTATTTGCCAACTTTCCCGGTTTCAGCATCTGGTCTGGAAGAGTTGGCAACCCATCCACAGCTGGAAGTGGCTGCTGAGCACCAGGCTAGTGACAGGACCCAGAGTGGCAGTGCAGCCTCTAGAGCAGGTGGCTTCAGTTTCCACTGATGACTGGGTGCAGACCCCCCGGGTACAATGGGTGGCAGGACCCCGAGGGGTGCTGTGGCTGGTGGAGCCAGGGGGATCCTGGAGGGGCCACCTGAAGGCCAGGACACGGAGCTGGTGGAGTCGGCAGTGGGCCTGGTCCATAGCCACAAGGAAGCTGGATGGAAAACCCAGGGCTGCTGCAGTCCTGAAACGCAGCTTCTCATGCCTACGCTTGCATGTCAAGTGCGTTGGGTTGGATCCATACAAAACAGTTTTGTTATAATTGTTCCTGCTTTGTTATAGCATAGAATAATAGGGCTGGAAGAGACCCCAAGGAGGTCACTGAGTCCAACCCCCTGCCCAAAGCTGGACCAATCCCAACTAAATCATCCCAGCCAAGGCCTTGTCAAGTCGGGACTTCAAAACCTCTAGGGATGGAGATTCCATCACCTCCCTAGGTAACCCATCCCAGTGCTTCACCACCTTCCGAGGGAAATAGTGTTTCCTAATATGCAACGTAGACCTCCCCCACTCCAATTTGAGACCCTTGCTCCTCGTTCTGTCACCGAGAACAGCCTGTCTCCATCCTCTTTAGAACTCCACTTCAGATAGTTGAAGCCCCCTTGTCTTCTGAAGACTAAATAAGCCCAAGTCTCTCGGCCTCTCCTCATAAGTCATGTGCCAGCTCCCTAATTATTTGTGTTGCCTTCCACTGGACTTTTTCCAGTGCATCCACATCCTTTCTGTAAGGATGGATCCAGCACTCCAGTGCCTCACCAGGCCTCACCAGTACCAAATAAAGGGGAATAATCAATTCTCTAGATCTGCTGGAAATGCTCCTCCTAATGCACCCTAATATGCCATTAGCTTTCTTGGCTACAAGGGCACACTGTCGACTCATATCTAGCTTCTCACCCACTGTAATCCCCAGGTCCTTTTCTGCCAAACTGCTACTTAGCCAGTCGGTCCCAGCGGGTAACAATGCTTGGGATTCTTCTGTCCCTAGTGCAAGCGCTTGTCCTTGTTGAACCCCATCAGATTTCTTTTGGCCTAATCCTCCGATTTGTCTAGGTCACTCTGGACCCTATGCCTACCCTCCGGTGTATCTACCTCTGCCCCTAGCTTAGTGTCATCCGCGAACTTGCTGAGGGTACAGTTTACCCTCTCATCCAGGTCATTAAAAAAGATTTAGAACAAAACTGGCCCCAGAAGTTACCCTAGAGATACTCTGCTTGATACCAACTGCCAACCAGACACCAAGCTGTTGATCACTACCCGTTGAGCCCGATGTTTGCATTCGCCTTACAGTCTATTTATCCAATCCAGACTTCTTTAATTTGTTAAAGCTTTGCTCAAGTCAAGGTATATCATGTCCACCACCTTCTCTATATTCATACCTCGTCATAGAAGTCAATCAGGTTGGTCAGACATGACTTGCTCTTGGTGAATCTATGTTGACTATTCCTGATCACTTTCCTCTCTTTCAAGTCCTTCAAAATGGATTCCTTGAGGATCCCTGC